CTAAATAAATAATCTCTTTTGATGCCAAGGTATCTCATTCGATAAATGCGAACGAAAAATAGTATTAACGCCTAGTATTATAACGCGCCTATTGTTGCTTAGACTTTATGGAGGCTCTGGACATATTTATGTGACAGAGCAAGGCAGAGCATTCTGTGCTTTTCTAGAGAGGGCTCCACCACTGAGCTACGTGAGGCAGCTCAGCTGGCTGCGCCTGAATCAGACTCATACAGAGCAAGGCAGAGCACTCTGTGTTCTAAGAGAGGCTCTACCAACTGAGCCACTGAGGCAGCTCAGCTGGCTGGGCTGAATCACTCATACAGAGCAAGGCAGAGCACTCTGTGTTCTAGAGAGGGCTCTACCAACTGAGCTACTGAGGCAGCTCAGCTGGCTGGGCTGAATCACTCATACAGAGCAAGGCAGAGCATCTGTGTTCTCAGAGAGGGCTCTACCAACTGAGCTACTGAGGCAGCTCAGCTGGCTGGGCTGAATCACTCATACAGAGCAAGGCAGAGCACTCTGTGTTCTAGAGAGGGCTCCACCAACTGAGCTACTGAGGCAGCTCAGCTGGCTGGGCTGAATCACTCATACAGAGCAAGGCAGAGCACTCTGTGTTCTAGAGAGGGCTCCACCAACTGAGCTACTGAGGCAGCTCAGCCGGCTGGGCTGAATCACTCATACAGAGCACCCTGTGCCTCTACAGTGAGACAGCATTAAGACAAATGTAGTCACGTTGTATCGTACATAACAAGAACATTTCTCAGTCATTCCGCCACTAATAGGCCGTGTAGGTAATGGGGCATGGCGAGAAAGGTATTTGCCATCTAATAAATTGCCAGTTCGCCCGACCAAAGGCGTCTCCCTGATCCCACATTCTCTCGTTGACAGAAGTCATTTTTCCCACAGCGCGTGCCGAGTACACGTTCTACGAGGGAATGGGCCCGGTCGACGTTCCCGTGACGCCCATCCCAGTGTCTTCGGGGTTAAAGGTGACAGGGGGTCGCGACCTCAACATGCTGGAGGTGTCGGGAGAGAATTTTACGCCGGACCTAAAAGTCTGGTTCTCTGACTTCGAGGCTGATACTATGTACAGGTGAGTGAACCAGCACACGCTATACTGCATAGTCATGGGAATTAAAACTTTCGTGGAATTCCTCAGCTTGTTTAAAAGCTGTCAGCAACATTTTTATGTCCAGTGTTTTGCTGGAGCATGCGCATGATTTCGAAGCGTGAGGCAGAGGAAAGAGAGTGTGTCTAAAGCCAATATTGGCATGGCTTACGTCGACCAGGTTTAGCCCGCTCAGCGCGTAGTGGAGGGATGTGTGTGTCCAGTCCAGCGTTGCTCTAACCGTTCGCTACCCACTGATGCAGCTAGCCTGTGTTAGGGCGAGAAACTGTCTCCGCCGACGACTCATGGCCCAGCCCATATACGTAGCTTACATCAATGCTACAACGCACGCATTTTGTGCCAACGGTTTGCACTTTAGTGCTTTTCATTTAAAAGCCTGTACACTATGTAGACTTGTTTAGTTCATCACGTAATCTTACCCTGTGGTTCGTATAAAAAAATGTATGCACGTGGAAAATCATCAGATTTGAGACTCAGCCAGAGTCACTGAGAGAGATGAGCTTTGTCACGTGCAAGGCTGGTCGTGCCACACATCCATAGAGACTAACATAACGTGTCGTTGCAAGGAGTAATAGACACGACCAGGTATTTTGTCTTTTATCCTCTCTTTGGAGGTTGGAAAAGTGACCGTTTTTTAATATCAAAGTGTGTCCTTTACTGAGAGGTTTTTCTACTGTGAACGTATGTATGTATGTACTGCAGATCCACGGACAGTCTGATGGCGGTGATACCTGACATATCGTGTATGGAGGGAGTTCACATGGCCAGCGAGTCACTGAAGGTCCCTCTCTTCCTGGTCAGAATGGACGGAGTCATCTACCCTACTGGTATGACATCATCGTCAGTGGTCCATCACAGTTAGGTCATGTCGCATTGCCCTGTTACGTCATGCTGCGACGCAGCAAGAAAAGAATCAATTTCTTGCGTCGCGATGCGGCACAGTGCGACAAGGCTCTGCGATGTATTCTGAACCTGGCCTTAGAGGGAACGTTGGTGCATCGTTCAACTGCGCATTCAGACAACGTATTCAGTTTACTGCATTGTGTTAGCCCATACTAATCAGCAGGACAGTAGTAAACTGACTATATTATATGTCGTATCCGTGTATTTGTTCATCAAATTGCTTCAATCCTCGAGGAATCTGAAGGTAGTGTTCAAACTAATTTCTAGCGCTCACTCCCACACGCCAAAGCTACTCTGCATACACATGTAGCCCTAAGCCCCAAGTTCGATTGTGTGTGTGTGTGTGGCAGTGTGTGTGTCTTATAGTGGCCCGTTTTGATCACAGTTCTATAGGTTTGCGTGCGTGTAGAGATGGAGCAATCAGGTCAAATATCTCACTGCTAGTTCACCAGACAGAAATGCAGTCGGACAAATTGCCCACTGCCCAGACCTAATTCTGCTCCCACCCCTCCTCCCTCCCCCCCTGGGCATGAATTCTCCCCACCATCAAATTACCCTCCCGTTAATCCCGGAACGTTGCAGTGACTAAGCCGCTAATTTACCACCCACAGTACTACCTCTATCTATATATTATCGTGCCCGCAAAAAATGCAAAACCATTACAACCCTCTTTGGGCGCCATAGGTGTCCTTAAATAAGCAGAAATTGATGTATAACATATTAGCGCCTAGTATTATAGCCATATATAATTATTATGCACTTATGGAGGCTCTGTGCATATATATAATTATGTATATATGTAAATGGCGCCCAAAGGGTTAATTAAGGGAAGGTTATGGGGGCCAGGGCTGAGCTGCGGTTGTATAATATAGTTGGCGGGCAGGCTGGGTGGGACCTTGTATTGACAGCACATACAACATGATCACATCCCGTCACGTAGCTTATGGGTTAGCATTATGACCATCTATTGTATAATTATAGTGTGTGGCAGGGTTTTGCCACACTACATTGGTAGGCCACCACTTTATAGGCTTTGTGGCAGGGGTTATTAATTGAGATCTATACATCGTAATGTACATAGCATTGACTGTGCCAAGATATGCTGGGGTCAATTAGCCGTGGCCGGTTGTATGTAACCAACTCTGTACTTCATTGCCAATCTAACAGCTCTCTCCTTAATCTCTCCTTCCTTTCCTCACTTGTCCTTCTCGTTCTTCTCCTTATCTCTTCTCTCCTCCTCTCTCTCCCTCCTCTCTTCCCTCCTTCCTTCCCTCCCTTCCTCTCTCCCTTCCGCTCTCCCTTCCTCCCTCTTGCAGGAATGTCTTTCTCTTACTCCAAGTCATCAGAACTCAATGGCTACGCAGCAATGACAGTTGTCCCTGACACCAGGTAGGAATAGACCTAGTATAATTATATGAACAATCCCCCACATTATCAGCAAGAGAATAATGACCACCTAGTCTTAACTGATGTCTCCTGTTCAATGCTCTAGCCAATGACTGCATACACCACATGACATAGAGTCTTTTGCTTATGTTATGTCTAGGTTCTAGTCAGATTTGTCTTGAATCAGATGATTTTTCTCTTAGGAACATATCTACAGTTACATACTTGTGTCTTGGGTAGAGTAAACTTTGGTGATTCATAATTATGCAAGCATAAAAGAAAAAGTGGCAGTATTATAGCTAAATTTAAACAACTGTTTCTGAAAACATGAACATTCTTGCACGGGGCTCTATTGTTTAGCTCTATGTACTGCCTTTGACACATGGCGGGGAATTCCATCACAGTAACGATTTTTATTTTTCGTTTTTTTCTCCCTGTGTGGTGGTGCAGGCTGTCAGATGAGGAGTGTGAGACTGCAGTAATCTCAAGCCCCACCCACTACCCCCACTCCACACCCCTCTCCCCTCATTACATCACCTCCCCCTCCTCCTCCTCCCTATCCTCTGTCACCTCTCCTGGCCTCGAATGTCCACCCCTCCCCTTCAGTGAGCTCCTTCATTCTCCCTCCCCTATCTCCCTTCTCTGCATCTTGCTCTCTCCTTTCACTTCCTTCCCCCTTCACCTCCCCTCTCCTTCCTCCACCCCTCTCTTTCTCTCTCCTTCCTCCCTCCCTCCCTCCCACTCTCTCCTTTCACCCTCCCTCTCTCTCCTCCCTCCCTCCCTCTCTCTCTCTCCTTCCTATCTCTCCTCCCTCCCTCCCTCCCTCTCTCTCCTCCCTCTCTCTCCTCCCTCCCTCCCTCCCTCCCCCTCTCTCCTCCCCCACCTCCCTTCCCTTCCTCTTATATTCATCATACTCCAAATCTTTCTCCAATTTTTCCAACTCAGGACCCAGTGAACCTACCGTCAATAGAGAACCTCTAAGGTATGCCACAATACCTCCATTAATACACTTCCCAACTGATAATGTACTGACTCTTCCGAGAGAGATGTTTCGGTAGCCAACAAGCAAGGATCATTTAGAAATGTTTCAATAGGGCCCAGTGCAATCAGTTCCAGTTTTTAGTTAGAGAGTTTCTGAATTTATAATGCTTTATCCTCCCTCCCCCCTCCCCCCCCCCCCCTCCCACCACACACACACTCACATAGTTCGTTTTCCCTGCTATCCTCTGGCCACCACCCCCAACCCCCACAGCTCCTCCCCCAATCTCTCTACACCCACCAACATCACCATCCACACACACACCATAGATGATTATAATATAGACATGTATAATAATATATACACCTGCCGCCCATCCCAATGGCAATATTATTCTATATTTTTTTATATTGGCTTAAGCATTGTGTTTTATGCTCTTTGATGTTATTCTCAGGTTCCATCACTTGTTTTATTATAACACTTCATCTGGTACCATATTATTTTTGTTCTTTATTGCACTTTCTCAACTCTCATTATTTTTCTGTACAAGTAGTTTCACAGGTAGTTCATATTATCTCATTCGTAAGTGGCTTTCTCATATATTATATCACTTGTGGACTATTGATAAGTGCATATTATTATATACAGATAATATTGTTACAGAAAATATAACGTACGTGATAATCATATGCCGCAGATACACAAAATGAATCACAATGAGGGGTTTAATAACAGTGAACGAGTATTTCAAGATAGCAGTGTCCCGCGAAGGTCAGGGCCAGATAGCAGTCCGCGAAGAGTGTCAGAGTTGCTACTAGCACCCGTAGAACTAGTGGGGATGTGGTTGAAGGTAGTAGTGGTAGAAGGGACGGTGTGGTACCCAGCTGGGGGCGAGGGAGAAAAAGTCGAAGCTTTAGTGAAGAAGGGGTTAACGGGTACCGCCCCCCACACGGGAGGAGAGAAGGCGCCAGGAGGACACTGGGGTGATGGGGCTCCGCTGGGGTTGGAGTAATACCCCAGTCCGGCGGGGGACTGGGCCGGGGTAGTTCTGGCGGAGGAGTGGGGTGAGTGGTGATTGCTGCCGAGGGCGGCGAGACAGGTGTCCATCTCAGTGTACCCACTATCCGGGGAGATGGAGATTGAAACGGTGCTCTGCACAGCTCCTTGTGGCAGCGCAGCGGTAGACGAATCCTGCGGTATGTCTCCTAACAGGTCTTGCAGAATCGCCTCCAGGGATGAGGGGTCGGAGCTCATCGCCACGGCAACAGGGGCATGTCCCTGTACCGCTTGGGGACTGTTGACTGCAGAGTTTGGAATGGAATAAGGGTTTGAGCTGGCAATGCTGTTTGGATTGGAATAGGGACCGAACGAGATGGGGCTGGTTTCGTCGGGCCAGTATGGACTGGGGACAGGAGTTGAGAATGGAGTGGGGACTGCAGATGAGGGATCTTTGACCGTGTTAGCCTGGGAGGATGAGGAGGAGAGGGAGGGAGAGCGAGAGAGAGGATACAGCTGAGGCTGACTCGGAATGGGGCCCGACTGCGGAATGGACTGGGGACAGGCGGGGAATGGGGGTACGGGAATGTGGGAGCTGGGGAATGGGAGACTGGATGTCTGGGAACACGGGAACAAAGCTGTTCGCTCCCTGTCTACCTGTAGGGTCTTTCCGTGCACCTCTCCTCTTCTTCTCTCCTGATCCTCGCTGTCTCTCATTTGTTGCCCGCTTCTATTGTCTTCTTCCTCGCGAAGCCGCTGACTCGCCGTCGGCTCTTTCTCTCCTCCTACCCCGAACTCCGCGTCCAGTCTCTGTTTTTCACTCCCTCTCTCCACTCCAGGTCGCCTCAGTTGCCTCCGCTGTAAGGAAACGCCTTGTTTTCTCCTTTCTCTCCCCTCTTTTCTTCGATGTGTCGCTCCGTACAGAAACTTCATGGAGCATATATCTTTAACGGTGGGGGAATGTCGAGAAGGAGTGTGAGGGGGTTAAGGATAAGATGGGAGGAAACCCAATAAAGCACGGTGAGCTCGGGCGGTCGGGGCGCAGAACAGGTGGCACGTGGAGGAAAGGGACAACTATCAGGTTGGTTTGTCACGGCTGGGGGAGGGGGGAGGAATAAAGTCTGATGTGTCGGAGACGGAGGTCAGTAATCGCCAAGCTCCAGAGGTAGGGGTTCAGAAATTTAAGTAGGTGGCAAGGCCGGGTGATCCCTGGAGGACGAGTAGGGGGTGAAGGCGGGGTGCGGAACAGACGAGGTGGGGTGGGGAAAGGGAGTCGTGGTATAAGTGGAAATTGGGAGTGTTAGACAGGGAGATGAGAGGGGATGAGGAGGGAGGGAGGAGGCGGGGGATCAAGTAGGATTGGAAGTGATATAAAAGAATCAGGATAGGGGGCTTACTAAAGGTAGCGCGGGGAAGAGGTAAGGCGGATGGGGCGATTGGAGGTGAAGGGGGCGAAAGGGTGGGTGAAGGGGCGGGAAAAATGGAGAAAAGTTGGGAGGGTGGATGAGGGTTCCTCGTGCTCAATTCCAGGCCGGACATGTGCAAAGCCACACACAGATTTGGGAAAATAGACTATAATAATATTAAGGTGATCTCAAATTCTACACCAATTTAATATTGGTAGTAAGATTCCACATCTTGCCATAAGCCGAAACTAGTAAACTAGACTTTTCCACCTACAATGCTGGTCCTTATCTTTAGGCTAGGAGGCTTATAGTTTGAAACCCTGGCTATCACGGTAAATCCAATTTCACTGCTTTTTGCTTTTTTCAATGACAGCTGAGGCTGAACTACATAATTTATAAGGCGCCCACCTGGTATAGTGTCAACAATTGCCCCTTTTCACAATCCTATTCCCAATATTCCTGTAGGACCCTCCCTTGCAGTTCAGTGGACCTGGTCTCAAAACATCACACAGTCAACCACACCAACACAACTCCTATTCCAAAAACAAACCAACTACACCCTACTCTCTATTCCAACACAGCCAAAGTCAAGCACGCCTCGAGCCTGTTTCAGAAACCGCAAAAACCCACCACTATAATATACAGAAAATAGTATTTGATTTCTGTACAGAATACAGTCGTTGTGTTGTTGTATGTTGCCACAGAATGACTGATGTTTGCGAGGTGGTTCTGCGATAACACACCAAGCATATCTGTACACCCAGTCACACTGTTCTGTCACACTATGATATAGAGCTGCGGGTATAATGATAATCCATCAGTCTTCACTGGAAGACACTGTCCCGCTAGATGCACACACACACATTTTTGATACGCAACGACTCAACGATGCTAATTGCAGAGGCGCGCTGGCACCACCCCACTCGACCGGGTTGGACACGCAG